AAGCAGTTGCTCGGCGGCGCCTGGGACGTGCAGCACGTCGCGCAGGATGAAGGGGCCGTTGGGCGTGTGCAGCAGCACGTGCCCGGCAGTGGTGGCTTTGCCAGTGCCGCCGTTGCCAAAGGTGATGGTGATGGCCTCCTTCAGCAGGTAGGGGTCGAGCAGAACAGAGGAGTCGTGAGTAAGGTGGCAAGATGCACCGGTGTCTAGCACCCAACGTTGCGAGCTGTCACTGCCCTGGCTGGTGCTGCAGCTGCTCCGGCTAATGTTGTGGCTGCGCCGGCTGATCCTGTTCTGGCTGCTCCACCTGGTGTTGAGGACACCCCCCCGTCCGCTGCTGGGTGGCCCCAGGCACGGGGGCCCTGCTGAGGCTGACAGGGCAATGGCAGCGGCAAACCGCTGGTGCGGGCGCTGCTGCTGGCGGCGTGGGCGCTGCTGGTCTGCCCGCCGCTGCTGCTGCTGCTGGCTGCGCTCCTGCGCCAGCTTCCTACACTCAAACTTGTGGTGCCCCAGGATGCCGCAATGAAAGCAGGGGCCCTTGGACTTGCCACCGGGGTGGTTGCTTGGACGGCCCGGCCCGGCGTGGCGGTCCTGAGCGTTGGCCATCAGCGCCTCTTCGCTGGGGCGCTCTGTCTTCTGCTCGCTGTGCTCCACGGTGAGCAGCTTGGGCAGGATGTCATCCAGGCTCAGGTCCCCGTCGGTGGTGGCGTTGATCACGGTGGCCATCGTTGCGTAGGCAGACGGTAGGCCGGACATCACGGACCAGGCGATCTCGGTGTCTGCCACATCCTGGCCGGCAGCGCGCAGCTGGGCCTGGATCTCCTTGGCACGGGACACATACTTGGTCAGGGGCTCGGTGGCGCCCATCTTCAGCTGGCTCAGCTGCATGCGTAGCTGCAGCTTGCGCGCGTTGCTCTTAGCTTGGTAGACTCTCTCCAGCTCCATCCACGCTCGCTTGGCGGTGCCGCAGCGCTCCAGCGTGGACAGGTGGTGCTCCTTCACGTACAGGCCGATGGTGGCCAGTGCCTTCTGGTCAGCTTCATGCTCGACCGTGTCGCTCTCCACAGCGGCCCACAGGCCCTTGGAGATGAGGACATACTTCATCAGGATCCGCCAGGTGGCATAGTTGTCCACGTCCAGGCACTCAACCACGGGCTTGCTGGCTTCCGCAGCCATGGTGAGGGATGAAGGTACAAAGGGGAAACTTCCTTGGGGTTCAGTTGGTGCAGCGGGGGTTGGGGCCCATAACCTGTTGTGAGAGAAGGGCTTTACACCTGACTGCAGAGGGCAGTCACTGAGGAAGGGCACTAGGAGAGAATGACAAACAAGGCGAAATGCAGGGGATTATATGCATGCATGGGAGAATGGCCAGATGGCGGGTGGCTGCCAGATGTCGCCGCCAGCTGGAGGGTGCTGACAGATGGCATTGGGTCGGGGGAGCTGACCGTTGGGTTTTGCCAGCTGGCGCGGGTGTGGGGCGCGTGGCTTTCGGTTTGGCCATCTGGCTTTCGGTCTGGCCGCGTCCCAACGCGGTGGGTGCTGTAGGTGAGCAGGCTGGACAGCTGGCGGGCGCTGGTGCAGCCAGGTGGCCCGCCGTCCAACATAGTCGATGCCCTCGCGCTGGCGGAAACCCTTGGCGACGAGGCGGGCCTTGTACCGCTCCACGGCGCCGGTGCTGTCACGCTTGATCTTGAACACCCATTTGACGGGGATGGGGTTGACGCCCCGCGGGGTGCGCTCCAGCGTCCAGGTGTTGTTTGTCCAGCAGGGATGCATACTCCTCGTCCATGGCCTGCCGCCAGAAGGGGGCTTGCTCTGAGTGCCTCCTCCAGCGTGGTGGGCTCGGTGATGACTGCCAGGTGGGCCTGGGCAGTGGTGGCGCGGTAGCCGTCCAGCTGCCACACAGATGCCGGGCGCTGCGCTGCCGCTCGGACAGGGTTGCGCCGTGGGCCATCTGCCCGCGGCGGCGGCGGCGGTGCTTGCTCCTGCTCCTCCTCCGCACCGCTGTCGTCCGCCGCTCCCACGGTCTCGGCGCCCTCCTCGTCGTCGCTGACGAGCTGAAACCAATGTAACGGGGTGGCTAAAAGGGACGCCTTACCGGGGCGTTCACACCCTTTTTACTCTGTCACTATGTAGCGAGACCTGCTACATCAAGCCCGCGCCGACACACCCCAGCTGTGGCACCATCGCCTCGGATACCTTTTGACCCCCTATAATACACCCTACATGGATGTCACAATGTGAGTAGTAATGCACCCTACATGCACCTATATAGCTCACGTTTCAGCTGTGCTGGGTGGGCCCACCCCGTTTTGGAGGCTCCAGGTGTCCCTGGGGGTATTTTGACCTGGGGAATCCGATTCTGCGCCCCAAAATACCTTTAGGCCGCGGCTAAGAAAGGCCTTCTTTGAAGGCGCTGGAGCTAGTGTCTAAACCCTCCGAGAGGGCACAGGTTCGATTCCTCCCATGTCGAAACTTTGTGAGGACAAACGCGGCATAGCTGACCGGCTCAGCGCCAATCCAAGCCAATTCCTTCGGGAACGCCTAATAGAATCGCCAAGGCTTCGGCACAGGCCTCCCCGGGACCCATTCACTACTAGTGGGGGGTACTGCACTTGGCGCGTCGGGCAGATCAAATAATGGTCTAAAGCTAGACGTTAAAACCGGGAAGTGAAGCTTGTGGAGGCTCTTCCCCACCTTTACCTTTACCTTTACCTTTACCCAGGAGCCTCCCCATGCCCCAAAACGACGATTTGAAAAAATCTGCCTGACGGCGGTGCCACCACCGCCACCCCCTATGACCTCGCCTCCTGCCATGCCCCATCCATGCCTCTCTAGACCCCCACACTTGACCTTCCCCATCATCAAACATCCGTTGAAGTGCCAGTGGCAGCTCAGGGCCATCCTGCACCCCAGCATGGCACAGCAGCAGCTTCTGCGGTGGCGGCGTGGCGGCGGCTTGCCGCTGCCAACTTGCTGACGCTACCCGAGCGGGCACCGCATGCTGCCCAGAGCTGGTGTGAGCTGCTGTGCTGGTGCCATCTGGTCTGGGGCTCGGTATTGATGTATATGACAGCCTGGGATGCTGGGTTGGTGGGTAGCATGCAGTTGGGAGCTGGCTGTGGCCTTCGGGCGATCGGGCCGGCGAGCCCGCTAGCTTGCTGCCGCTACCCGAGCGGCACCGCATGCTGCCCAGAGCTGGTGTGAGCTGCTGTGCTGGTGCCATCTGGTCTGGGGCTCGGTATTGATGTATATGACAGCCTGGGATGCTGTGTTGGTGGGTAGCATGCAGGTGGGAGCTGGCCTGAGCATGCCAGTATGGCTGGTGGCAGGGGGTCTCGCTGCGCCGCCGCCGCCGCCACGCCGCCCCCGCAGAAGCTGTTGCTGTGCCATGTTGGGGTGTAGGATGGCCCTGAGCTGCCACTGGCACTTCCAGGGATGTGTAGTAGTGGTTCAGGTCAGGTCTGGAGAGGCATGGGTGTGGCATGTCAGCAGGGCTGGCAGCGGGGGGTCTCGCTGCGCCGCCGCCGCCGCCACGCCGCCACCGCAGAAGCTGCTGCTGTGCCATGCTGGGGTGCAGGATGGCCCTGAGCTGCCACTGGCACTTCAACGGATGTTTGATGATGGGGAAGGTCAAGTGTGGGGGTCTAGAGAGGCATGGATGGGGCATGGCAGGAGGCGAGGTCATAGGGGGTGGCGGTGGTGGCACCGCCGCCAGGCAGATTTTTTCAAATCGTCGTTTTGGGGCATGGGGAGGCTCCTGGGGGTATTTTGGGGCGCAGAATCGGATTACCCAGGTCAAAATACCCCCAGGGGCACCTGGAGCCCCCAAAACGGGGTGGGCCCACCCAGCACAGCTAAAACGTGAGCTATATAGGTGCATGTAGGGTGCATTACTACTCACATTGTGACATCCATGTAGGGTGTATTATAGGGGGCCAAAATGTCTCCTATCACGTTTAGGGCCTCTGAGCTGTTTCCCAGCTGCGTTGGTGTCCCCATAATTAATGTGCAAGAGCATTTCCCCTAAAAATAGGCCCGGCGCGGCATGCAGAGCAAGTCAGACCCACAGAGCACGCAGCCTGGCAGGCACCCCATCCATCGCAGCCTCAAAGTCGGCCCACAGCCCTGGCAGGCGGTCTACGCGCTCAAGCTCCTCATCAGGCACCCCCGTCTGCAACATGAGCGCCAGGAGCACGCAGATTGTGCATCAACACAATGAGCTCAACACCAGGCTCAATAGGCTGGCTGCAGATAGTACCCCCCCCGTGATGCTTTGCAAGGGCCACCCGCTCTGCAATGGCCCCTCCGGGGATCCCCGCCCAGCCCCAGCCACCCACCTGCAGGTTGACAAGGGCCTCGTACTTCTCCTGGCAGGCTGCAATGCGCTGCTGCATCTCCTCCCGCTCCCCCTCCAGCCGCCCATGCAGAGCCTCCAACTTCTCAAATGCCCGCTGCCGCGTCTGTCCAGCAGTTGCCGCGTCAGGGACTGCCGCCGCTTCAGGCAGCACCTTTCGTGCAGAAGCTGGCTCCCCTGACTCCTGTTCCCCCTTGGCCTGTCGGGGCTCCTCTGGATCCTGTCTCAATCCCAGACCATCCTGCTGGCCTTCCTCTTGTCCCACGTCGCGGTTTTCCTCCTGATCCTCCTCGTGCTGCTCCTGTCCCACCACCTTCGCAGACTGCTGCTCCTGGTCCCGTGTGGGGGCAGCAATAGACCGGCCTGTGAGCTCGGCAATGTGCTGCTGCAGCTCCTCGCACAAGCCACTGGCGGGATGCCAGGGTGGACAGCAGCCCGGAGAAGGCCGCCACCCAGCTGTCGCACAGCGTCACCAGCTGCTGCTTCAGCGTGGAGGAGTCTAGGCGCAGCCAGCGCACAGTAGAAGCGCTGTCCTCGGACAGAATCTGAAACAAGGCTGGAGAGCAGGCGGGATAGTCAGTGTTGAGACCAGCGTCCCATCTGAGCACAGTAGCAGCACCAGCAGCAACACCCGCTTCACCACAGCCATACCTCCTCCTTCAGGTCCAGATACTTTTGAATGTCGGCCAGGAACGAGGTGACAGGCTTGTTGGCACGCTCATACCGCCGCATGTAGGCAGTACACTCTGTCTGCCACAGCGCCACCATGTACTTCTTTTCGTGGAATGTGAGCAGCTGCACGGCATCCAGTTGGAAACAAATGTGTCGCACAAGCAGCATTCATGGGGTTTGCTGGAGGCCAGTGCCCTGGGGCCCACCTGCTGCACCTTCTCCACTATGCCACTGATGCCTCGCGTGATGGCCTGCATCTGCTTCGTCACCGCCTCCTCGTTCTGTCCCACTTCTTCCACAAATGCAGGTGGTACGGTTACCTCCCTGCGCAACAATTGCGGAACAGGGGCAACGTTGGCGAAACAGCACGCCAATCATGCTGCGGGCGCTCCTATCCTCGCCCAACTCGCACCTGAGGCACCCTGGGAGCGGTCCCGCCGCTGCGCAGCCGCTGAGCACCTCTGGCAACAAGCGGGGCAGCGATTGCAGTGCCGCCACCGCCGCCTTGCACGTGTTGTGTACGGTGTCGAACAGCTGCTGCAGCGTGGGCTTCAGCTCCACCCTGAGACAGGCAGGCAGGCAGAGGGTCGAAACACATGGCAGGCCCATGAGCAGCAGCGCAGGCCAGCACGAGAAAAGGCAGTGGCATGCTGCGGTACCTGCCTGCCATTTGTGTCCAGGACAACGTTGAGCACGAACAAGGGCGGCACCTCTGCCGCCTTGTGCTCCCCCTGCAGGACCCGGGCCACCTCGTGCAGGCTGCGGCGGATGCAGGCAGTCAGCGCATCCAACAGCTGCGTGTCGGCGCGCTGCAGGAAGGCCAGCCACTCCCGCTGCACCTCCTCGCTGTCGCCAGCAAAGCGGCGGTACAAGGATACCAGCGAGGCCCTCAGCTGGCAATAAGCATCCTGCATCTTGGAGCAAACGACGGCCTGCACACAGATTGAAAGCCAGCGCCAACCAGACGATGAGTTCAGTCAGCTGCCTCCATGCACGCCCACAGCTGCTCAATTCAAGGAAGCTGCCACCACCCTTACCTGGTGCCCCGCCTGCCGCTGTTCGAAGCTGGGAAGGTCGTAAAGCCGCTTGCGCTCCACACGGACCAGAAGAGCCTCACGAAACATCGCGCATGTGGATGCCACCGCTGCGCTGACGGTCTTTAGCTCGGCCATGGCCGCAGACACATCCTTGCAGCAGCGCAGCGAGTCCTTCTGAAAGAACGCAGTCTGGTGATGGGGGGATCCCCAGCTAAGCTTGTGGACGCCTGGAAGCACACGGCGGTCCAGAAACCTGTCCCAGCATAAGAGCACCCCAGGGCAAATAGTTGAGCGAGATGGTTCACGGGAGGACCCCATGCTTGAGCATAGTATGCAACAGCACACCTGATGCGGTCCTTGCACAGGCGCCTCTCCTCCATCGACAGGCTACCCAGCACAGCATTATAGGCACGGCATACCTGAAGATCAAATGGGCACCCTCACTGCCGATCAGAGTGACTAAGAATGTGCAGAGAGTCGCTGGACGGTGATTACCCGCACCTGCACGGAGCCCACCCAGGCTGCCCGCAGGCGGTGACGGTCGGAGAGCAGGTCTGCTGTGGCCGCGGGCACCCCCAAGCGCTGGCGCTCGAACAGGTACGACTCCTCCAATGCCAGATGAAGCTGCGAGGAGAGGTTGATGTGTAGCAACCCGCTGCCTGCCTTGTCCTGCTGCAACAGGTTGCTCTGCAGGTGGCTGCCCAGGTCGGGGGGCACGCTGCCATACCACTGCAGCAGCAAGAGTGGCAAAGAAACTCTTTAAATGCCTGTGCTTTGTGGGGGCTGCATGGCATCCATGAAATGAACATGCCACGTACACACCTGCATGTTGAGAGTGTTGATGTGCTGCTGCAGGCCCATGTGCAGAGCCTCGTATGCTGTCGCGGAGTCTGCTGCCAAGGGCACCCCAGGGAGGTAGCCGGCCATGGCTGCAAGGTGGTCCGAGGTATGCTCGATGCGCCGCAGCAGGCCTGAAAGCAGCACCACCCGTCCGGCATGCTGCGGCAGGGGCGGTCCAGGAGGCAGCTCGGCCTTGATGGCCTCAAATGACTGCTTGACTGCTGCCAGCTCGCCCATAAACAGCTGGTGCCAGTCAGACACACGCGTCTCTACCGCCTTCCTGCACTTGCAGGGCAGTGGCAGCACAGGCAGAGACATGTCAGTGGCGTTGTTTGTTGTGAAAGCGGCAGGGGCACAGCATGCACTCGCTCCTCTGCCATCCGGATAAGCACGGCAGGAGCCTGTGCTTGCCTAAGGCCATCGCGCGTGGTGATCTGGGCGAACGCCTCAATCACGTCCAGCTTGGTTGTGAGGCAGGAGGCGTGCTCCACCGCCGTGGCCAGTATGTTGCCCAGCATCTGCTCCAGGTCGCGCATGGCAGCACGGATGGCGGCCATGTCTTCATACCACTGGCTGCACCGCACATCCAGCACATCATATTGCAGGCCCTGCAGCCTGCAACAAAGACAAAAGCGGGGCCAGTCTGAGTGGGGGTGGGCAGTGCATCCAGAAGAGTACATCGCATCCATATGCGAGTCCAGGCAGTAATTGGCGCTCGCACTGGCAGGCCTCTCTTTCGCACTGCTCGTTGCCTGCCAATCCACCCACATACTTGTGCATTTGATGGGCGAAGGCCTGCTGCACGTCGCCCAGTGCCCGTGCAATCTCTGGCGCCTTACTGCCGCTCAGCACTGCCGCCAGCTGTTGTCCGCAAGCAAACTGGCGCTGCGCGGCGCAGATCTCCTGCAAATCTTGGCAGCGCTGCACAAAGGCCTCCACGTGGGCGTAGATGGCACTGGCATCAAATGCCCAGGGACGGTCTGGCAGGGCGGCCGCCACATGCTGAGCTGCCTCGCCATATATGGAGCGCGCCGCAGCAACCACGCCGCAGCACTGCTCCAGGCGCTGCTCCGCGATGGCCAGTTCGATGCCACCAAAGATCCGCCCCAGGTCGAGCATGCTGCGGCAGCGCGCCACCACTGCATTGCTGACTTGGCGCAGCAGGCTTGTCATCTGCTCGGGGGTGTTGTAGTGCGGCGCCAGTGTCCACACCATGCGACATGCATCCAGCAATGGCGGCAGCGCCTGCGCCAGATGTGTGGGGTCGGCCGCCGCGAGCTGGGAGCAGGGTGCCTCCAGCGCCTCCAGAAAGACCAGGTTGCTTGCGGCCTGCTCCGCCTCGTTGGCGATGCTGCCCCGCAGGCCCAGGAAGGCGGGCAGGTGGGGCGAGCGCGCAGCATCCAGCACCCGCAGCACAGCCGCCAGCCCTGCTCCCTCCAGCTGGTCCCGCAGGCTGCCCAGGTCGGAGGTGCGCTGCCGCCAGAAGGCCACCTCCTCTGCCGGGCCCTCCTCCTGCCCCGCCCGCTGCTCACGCGTGCGCTGCCGCGCGAGCAGGCTGCGAATCAGCTGTGTCCAGCGCAGAACCTGCACCTCCAGCCGCTGCACCAGCTCGCGCTGCCGTGCTGCCGCGCTGGGGACTCCCTGCCATGCCTCACGCGGCACGTAGAGCACGGTGCGCCCCCGGCCTGCATGCACTGCTTCGCTGAGCGTGGAGCAGAAGTCGTTCGCCTGGGCGGCCCAGTCCTGCTGCAGCTGCTCCGGCCAGGCAGAGCGCGCGGCCTGCACCTGCGGCAGGTGCAGCCCTTCCAGTTGCTGCTGCAGCTGGCGCAGCGCGTCGGGGCCGTCGAGATGGCCCGTCGCTACGCCGCCCATCGGCTCGCGCAGCAGAAAGAGCAGCTTGGTGAAGCTGTGGGGCATGGTTGGGGCCATGTGCAGCCGCCCCGCAGCATCGGTGTAGCAAAACAGTGTTGGGGCCTCGCCATGCTGAAAGCGGCAGAGTGCCGGTGGGGAGTCGAGCGCGGCTGCTGCGGCGGCGGCCTCGGCGCCCAGCACCTGCGACAGTGGGAACTGCATGGGTGATGACCGGGCGCTGCTGCTGATGGCACGCCAATTGGACTGGCACACAGGCTGCGACAGCGAAGGAGACGAGCAGCTTGTCCGAGGTGTGGCTCACCGGCGCAAGCACGCTCCATACGTCCACGTCGACGCTCCATTCCATTGCGGCCCATACTTTGCTTCGCGGGCGCGAGGGCGGGGTGATTCGTTGACCGTGCCCCTCCAGCGCAGCACGGCACGTCAGGTGGTGTGTTGCTGCAGAAGGCACCTTCACAATCAGGGTAAGGGCGTTGGGAAAGTGCAGCCGTGTGCCCTGCCGCCCACGACACTCCAATGCGTTGATTGGTGCGAACCCTGCTGCCAACAACGCACATACGTGACGGCCGTGCTGCAGCTAGGAGCCGGTCGCCTGTCGCCACAGCGTCGCCCCAACCCTCCGCCGTTGCCTGCCATCAAACTGCCAATGGATGCCGCGCCGCGGCCCCCGCCATGGGCGGCCATGACTGGGGCAAAGCGCATAGCAGCGGAGTATCTCGAATGCTGGCCAGAAAGGTCGGCGCGGGGCGTCTGTGGGGGGCGACGGAGGTGGGTCGGTGGGGTGTGTGTGCCAGTAGTGCCGAGGTCGGCGTAGTGGGGGTGGCCATTATTGAAGCCTGCCTGCCTCGCATGTTTACCACCTTCCAGCACGGTTTGCTCTCCTGCACATTAAGAACCCCTGCTGGTGCCTTGATAAGCTCCTCCCTGATCCAGTATCTTGCCTGGCCCAGCTGGCAGTTTTTGCCTCCCTTCTCGTACTCTGCTCTTGCTGCCCCCCTTGTGGGCGACCACACGTTGGACGCGCCTCCTGCTGTTCCACTTCTGCTTTCCCGGTCTGGTGCTCCAGGCCCCCTCTTGCGCTGCCAACTCCTTTGTGTTGTGCAGCAGGCTGTACTTCCAGCGGCAATTGCCACTGTCTGCACTCGTCGGCAGTCTGCCCCCGCTATTGGCTGCTCGGACTGCTCTGTTCACCTGCAGCTGTTCCTTGTTCACGTTTGTTTCGACGATATCAAAAGGAGATCCACCCCCAAGGATGCGCCTGCAGCCAATTCATTGCAATGCCAGGCCTCGACGAACAGCTGATCGGCTCAACTTGATGGGCTCAGCCACTGCCTGAAGACTGAGATTGTGCCTGCAGCGCCGGGCCCGCCCGCCACAATGACCTGCGCGCATTTGGGCGCCAGCAGAGGCAGCTCAGCCGCTGGCGGCTGCGGTTTACTGATGCAATTTCCTGTCCACAGGCACACTTGCCGCAGGACAGCCCAAGCATTGCAGCAGCTGCAACCTGCAGCCCGCCCGCCCACCTCTGATGTGGAGGAGTTCCAGGTGAGCGCTGTGGCCGGGGTGCGCAGCGTGGGCGCCAACGGCACAACATGGCAGGCCGCGTCCATGAGGTCCACGGTGAAGATTCCCGCAGTGGTGGCCAGCGCCACCGAGTCGGCAAAGGGGCTCACCGCCATGCGCACAATAGGCCTGCGGGGCAGGGAGGTCGGCGATGATGAAAGTGGTCAATGCTTGCTTGCTCGGTGGCAATCCTCCATGGGGATGCCGGCTGGCACAGCGCACTGTGTCCCTTGCTCACTTGGTGTCGGGCACTGCAAACTTGAGGGGCCCTGCCGATGCGTTGCGCACGTCAAACACCACCATGCGCCCATCCCCAGCCGTGGTCAGCAGCTGGCTGTCGTTGAGCTGGCAGATGCCTGTAGCCACCATTATGTGATGCTGAGGCGCATCATCTCACAGGCAGGCAGGGCAATGAAGCAGCTGCGCAACTGCGCGTCCCGAGATGCGCACGTGCGCCAACAGACAGGTTTGCTGTGCAGTGCCATCCCAATCATCTGCTGCATAACAGCAAGCTGATCCAGCCCAGTCACACACCTGTGATGCGGCCCTGCTGCGCAAAGACGGCATTGGGACGATTGGGCTTTTCTCGCATGTTGAACCTGCAGGAGGGTAGACCAGCAGAAATTTGCAGATGCTGAGCGGCGTCGTGCATTTTGAGTGTGTGTGGCAGGGTGAGGGTGCGGCCAGCCAAGCAGGGAAGAGATGCAACGTGATTATGTCCAGCCAAGCAACACAGGTACTATCATAAGGACGAAAGCATCTACCAGACCAACTCAGCACCGCCCCGTCCCCACTCACATGTGCACCTTTCCGTCAGCTGCGCCGCTGTACAAAAACAGCCCAAAGCTGGACTTGTGCAGGCAGGTGATGAGGGAATCGTGTGCCTTCCACAGGGCCTTGGGCGTCAGGCTGCCAGGGGTGGCCACGTTGCTGGCGCCTGCACAAGCGGATGCGGTGCGGCGGGATTGCAGGCAAACAGCCACCATGCCGGCGCATCGAGCGGGTGAAGCAGATCAGCACAGGTAGGTAACCTGACTATATGCCGCCAGCTGGCGGGGACAGGTAAACTGCAGCTAAAGTGTCGTTGTGTGGCCCATGTCAAGCTTATGCAACAGTGAGTGCCCACCTGGCTTGCTGGCGTTACCGACGGGCCACACAACAAGGGCCCCGCCATAGGCTGCCACACAGGTCTCTGCGGTTCGGGTCGACGACAGAAAGAAGGCCACACATCAGTGCCGCAATAACGACGATCAACCAGAGCTACAGCTGCACCTCACCAAGATCGCACAACTGACCCAACCATCATCCGCCTGTTCGGCGCACCTGCTAGCGGCCCACCAAAGCCATGCAGCGACGCAACCGCGAGGCAGTTCTGCCCGGTAATCTTTCCGGCGGCGCTGTGGGGCATGGGGAAGCGTCCCTTGGGTGCCTGCACAGCCGCAGCAGGATGAGGGAGAGGTCGAGCCAGCACCCCGCTAGTGCCTGGAGGCAGAACATCTCCCCTGCCCCAAAACTAACCCAAAGCGATGCAGCTGGTGTGATGAGCCCCAACCGCGCACACAGAGGCAACAGGGACAATGGGTGTGCATGCAGTCGCACCCCAGCCCTGCCTCGCACCAGCAGCGTGTCGATCTCCAGGCTGTGCGCGGTGACCCACTCGTTGCCGCTGCGGTCGATGGAGGCTGACAGCATCAATCGCGTGTTGCATTCCGCGTCCAGGCAGACTGATGTGTAATCGGTGCCTTGGGAGTGCATGCACATGAGCGCCGCCTCGCCGCCGCGCCCGCCGCTGGGGCTGGCCTCCCTGGAAGGAAGCAATCGTGTGCACGGTGCCAGTCGACCACACTCCAACCTTTCAGCAAACAATCCACCGTTATTTGCAGGGCAAATTGCTGCACAGTTCCTGCGTATCGCCTTACCATAAGTTCAGCAAGCCACGGCTGCTGCTAATCAGCCAGCCAGCATGCCCATCGCCACCCGGCAACCCCGCAATCTGGGGCACATAGGCCTGCAGTCAGTGGGTAGGCCGAGGAAGGGTGGTGAAGCTCAGCGAGGCATGGCACATGCTGCAGTCCCCAGGCGGGCAATTGTTTGGCGTGTAGACTGTGGGCAGTACGCACCACAGCACTGACTGCCTCACTGCTATGGTCTGCCGCATCCGTGGTCCAGCACAGCTGCCACGATAACTCGCTGGCAGCGGCTGGCCCTGCTGCCGCATGAGCAGCAATAGCCGGTGCCGGAGCCGGCGGGCCAGGCTGGGGCGGCGGCGCTGCAGCGGCTGGGCGTGGCTCCGCGGCAGGCATGCGCAGCAGTGGCGGCAGTGCAGCTGCCGGCTGCTGTGGCATCGCGGGTGGCATTGCTGCTGGTTGCTGGACACCTGCCAGAGTGGACACCTGCGGTCCAGGAGGAAGTGGTGCCTGGCCCTTGCTCCTGCATTTTGGCAGGCGCATCCAGACCTTGCTGGGCAGGGGCGACACAGGGTTGTTTGGGGTGCAGCGAGCGGGTGGAGGGGTGCGCACCCGGCCGCCGCATCGAGTGCCGCCTTTAGCTTATCCAGTATGGTGTTTGCATCCTCCCGCTGCAGCTCAAAATCGCACACAAGCTGGCCTGGCAGCGCCTGAGCCGGGATGCTGACTCGGGACATTGCTGGGTCTGCAGAGAGCGTGGAGCAATCGAGTGGCGGGCGGGCGCGCAGGTGGCGGGCGGGCCGGTGCGCAGGAGGGTAGGGGCGGCGCGGAGCACTGCTTCCCACTGCCATGAATCTCTCTGCATCCTAGACCTCCTCTGCTGCCTGCCGTCGAGGGCCCATGCCAGACATGGGCGAGGTCATCGGGCTGACAGCAGCCTGAACCCTGCCTGATCACCTGCAGCTGGAATGACACCTCACAGCGAAGCTGCTGGCTGAATAGAGCCCGCACAGGGGAAGCGCACGAATATCGCCGCGATAGGCAGCAGCGATAGCAAGTTGCGAAATGACTGGGACGAGATGCCTTACATCTGGCCGAAATGGGTCCCTGACGAGCCAACAACAAACAACAGGTCCACATGGGTCTGTGTCACTAAGGAACATTGCCAGGCTTCAATTAAGTTCAATGCACATAAGAAAGGGATACCCCTGGCTACATGCCGCCCAGCCGGTGCTGCCGCCCACAGGCACCGGCACAGCACTGGCGCACGCCGGCAGCCCTGCAGATGCTTAGCACGGTGCAGCAACAGTGGCACGTGAGACCCGTCATACGGATCTGTTGCCCTCGCATGCGCGGGCATCATGGCATTGATCAAAAGCAACAAGAATGTGATGGACAAAGCATGCACATTAATGCAGAGGCAACAGAAGGTGGAATTTGGACAAAACAGCTGTCAGCTGTCAATTTGCTGCAAAACATTTGATGGCGTAAATTGCGACTGCTGCCTACTGCTCATCCTCAGCAGCCTTTGCCGCTGCGTGCTCCGCCAGCAGCTGGAGCAGTTTGCGCAGCTGCTTCCTGGCCGACAGCGCCTTGGCAGTAGGCCGCGACGCGGGCGGAACAGCTGCTGCATCTGCTGGGGGGGCTGTGGCTGCAGGCGGTGGCTGCACCTCAGTCTGCTGCGCCTGGCGCAGCAGCTGCCGTATCTGCTGCAGGTCGGCGCCGCTGCTCTGTGCCAGCCCAAACGCTTGCGTTGCGGCGGCTACGTCGTCGGCTAGCAACGCCTGAAGCCAGAGCTGCACCTGCTGCTCAGCAGCTGGATTGGCAATGATACCCTGGCCTGTCCGTACGCTCTCGACGGCCGCCTGCAGCTGTGTCACCTCTGTGGCTATCACCGACTCCCGCAGCAGCTTGGCCACCAGGCTCTCCTGTCGCTGCCTCCCCTGATTGCGGTTGCTGATGCGGGCGGCCAGCCCCACGGCATCCACCACCTGCTCCCCCACCAGCGGCTGCAACCGCACCAGCTGCTTCTCGGTAAGTCGAGTCAGCTGGCGCGCCAGATCCTGGAACTGTTTGGCTGCACAAAGTAAGGGTGCATGGGGCATGGGAGGGCGCGCACGCCAAGTGAAAGGTGCACCCGGGCTGACCCCAGACCAGCCGATTGGTTGCTACCACCAAGGCACTACAGACGTTGTCATTCAGCGTGCCTGAAGGGCGAGATGGTTGTGTTCACTCACCCTCGTGCTTGGCAGCCGACTTGCTGGGCCGCCCAACGCGTGGCGGCCTGGCGGCGGCAGCAGCAGAAGCCACTGTGCTGCGCAGGTGTCTCCGCTCGGAGCGTGCCGGCTGCTGCACTACCAGGGTAGCGCCCCCAGCCAGCATCCTCCACGCCCGGGCAGCGCAGAGCATGTGAACTAAGTGCAAAGCAGTTGAAGCGCTGCTCGCTGGTTCCAGTTCGAGTTGCAAATCGCGCTATAGACCAGTTGTGTGCGTGCTATAGAGGCATGTGTGTATGGCTGTATTGCCGCCGCCACCACGCAGCGACGCCCCGCCGGTGAAGGCCACTGGCATTGATTTGCCATCGGCCTTCATCATTGCTGCACATCCCAGCTCAGTTTGCGTACAGGTGGTTCTCAGGGCAGGTGTCGTAAGCTCTCTCCAGCGGCCGAAGCCTCCTTTGCACCCCAGTGCATACACGTCGTGATGCCTCTGCTCTGTCAAGCTCCGCCAATAGGGCCCTCCTGCATGCATGGGTGCCTTCCCTGTCTTGTCTTTGCATCTTTGTAAGCAGATGGGCTCTCACTGAGAAACCTCCATTTCCATGTACATCGCTCCTCGGGCGTGGCGGCATGGCGGCGCCAGCCTGGCCGCCCGTCTGGTGCCTGCTTGTCCATCTCACGGACGCGCCGGTTTTGAAGACGTCATCGCAACTGCAATTGATCTCACCACTCATTCAGGAGCGGCAAAGGTGGAAGACCGGCGCTGGAGCCTGGGAACGAGCTGGAACTAGCCTTCGAGGCGGCCACCCAGTTCGTTGGGGCCGCCTCGAAGGCTGGATCGCTGTCAGATGACCAGCTGCTGCGGTTCTATGGGCTGTACAAGCAGGCGACGGCGGGCGCGTGCGACGCCAAGAAGCCCTCCGTCTTCGACCGCCACGGCAGGGCCAAATGGAGTGCTTGGCAGGCGTGCAGCATGCTCAGCAGCAGCGAGGCGCAGCAGCAGTATGTTCAGCTGCTAGCCGAGCTCAGCCCAGCGTGGCTCGATGCGCCTGGCAGCTGCAGCGGCAGCAGTGGGGCCTCGCGGGCAGGTGTGGGTGGCCCGGTGCAAAGTCGCATGGCAGGGACGGCAGAGGAAGACATCCAGGTGATGCCACTGCTCTGTTGCAGAGGGTTGTGCTTGGGCCCATGCGGCTTTCCAATGTGGCCACCCGCCCAGCTGGTCCTGCATGATGGCCTGCAGGAACCTGACGCCGCACCACCGCTGCTCCAGGCAGCCAGGGCGGGCGACATGGCGGTGGTGGAACAGTTCCTGCAGCAGGGGACAGATATCAACCAGGGGGACAGCGAGGGCGCGACGGCACTCCACTGGGCAGCGGACAGGGGGCACCTGGAGGTGCTGCGCCTGCTGCTGTCCCATGGCGCAGATGTGAATGCCACGGATTGTGATGGCCTGGGCCCTCTCCACTACGCAGCGCTGGCGGAGCAGCAGGCAGCGGCGCAGCTGCTGTCGGCGGCCCCCGGAGTCTATCTTGACATGCGCAGCGGCGATGGCAAGACTGTCGTGGATGTTGCTCCGGCGAGCTGGATCTTCTTACAGAGCAGCACGTGAAGCCCATGGAGCTTTGAATTGGAGCAGGAGTGTGTGAAAAATGAGGACCAGAGCACAGCACTCATAGGAATTAGGCACAGGCGGGAGCTGTGAATCGGGGGCAGGAGGAGGTAGAGCACTGACAACCAGAGCATCACGCTCTTAGGTGGAAGGTGGCAGACGAAAAGTAGGAGATCGTACAAGGGAGTCAATGGTGGGAATTCAAAATATCATGACAGGTCATCACCTTGGTGGTGCCTGCGGCACTGCGGCGGCTGCAGCAGCTTCGCTGGTGTTGTTGTCACCGTAACCCTGCTGTCCAACCGGGGGCTGCAGGTATGGCTGCTGGTGCTGCGACATGTACTGCGAAAAGCTGTCCCCTATGCTCCGATATGCTCGCATGACCTGCGAAGCAAGCGGATCGGATCAGATAGGCGGGCTCCTGCCATGCTGACAGACAGAGTGCCCGCCCCGCACAAGCCGCGCCCGCGCACCGCCGCTATGTTAGTGTTGAGCTCTCGTATGAGGAAGCAGTTCCGCGCGAGTGCCTCCGGCGTCTGCGACTCGTGGTTGGCTTTGATTTCCTTGATGATGCGCCTGAGGCAGGCCGTGGGAAGGCTCAGAGGGTGCGCCGACCGTGGATGCAGGCCCAACCCGCGGTGCACGAGGCTCACTTGTTGTGATCAAGTATGTCCTGAGCCGAATCAAACAGCCTGAAGTCTGGGAAGGCTATCGGGGCTTTGCTGCTGGGGTCGTCGCTGCTCGTCACGTCTCTCCCGTTGGGAACGGCCATGTTGCCTCACCTGCGTATCTGCGGAGTGGGGGCCCGGCCTGCAAAGCTGCAATGATGGTGCCACATCGCCCGCCAGCGGGGCGTCGCCCGGCCCCACTCCGCCCTGCTTTAACCCGCAAAACTCTTCCCGATAACATCACCAGGTGATCACAAAACAAGTCTAGGGCGCATAACTCGCCAAACCCAGGTTGTAACGTGCCGCCTGCACGGTGTTGTGCAGCACCGCCGCAATGGTCATTGGCCCCACACCGCCAGGCACGGGGGTCAGCGCGGAGGCCACCTCGGCCACGTCCCAAAAGTCCACATCGCCCACCACATGCCAGGGCTGCTGCAGCTGGGCGCCCTCCTCCGCATACTCATCCCGCAGGCATGGCGGCATGCCTGCGGCCGACCCGTGCTGTGGGCCAGCCCTGGCCGCCGTCTCCCCCTCTGTCGCTGGCGGAGCCGCCGCCGCTGCTCCTGCCGGCTGCTGCGCTTGTCCTTGCTGCTGCTGCTCTCTGTTGCTGTCGCTCCCTGCCTCGCCGCTGCTAAATCCCACGCTGCCAATACTGCGGCTCACAACGTTGACGCCCACGTCAATCACCACCGCCCCCGGCTTCACCCACTCCCGCTTCACCAGCTGCGGGTAGCCCACCGCCACCACCAAAATGTCGCCGGTGCGGGTGATACTGGGCAGGTCTGAGATGTGGGGGTGCGGGTGATGCCCACCATGGTGCGATTGTGCCTGCCAGCCATTATGGGGAGCTGCTGCAGCATCCTCCCGTGGCTGCCCCTGCTGCTCCGGCGAGGGCACGGGTGGCTGCGCACTTTCCACGCCGCGCAGGATGCTTGTGTGGCGCTGTACCTCATAAGGGTGATAGTGGGCTGTGGTAGACCTGCCAGTGCCACCCGCTGCTGGCTGCTCCGATGCAGCTGGATGCCCTGCACTACCGCTGCTGCTGCTGCTCACGCTGCTACCTGTGGCTGCAGACCCTGCTGCATGCGCAGCCACTGGCCCAGGGATTCGCGGAAGGCATGCCGCTGCCTGCGCTCGCTGGTTGGCACGCTGCAGCCAGAGGTTAGGCAGCAGAGAGAGATGAGGCAAGTCGCCTGCAAGGCAGCCACTGAACCAAACCCATAGGAATGCACTGCAGGTGTCCAGACAATTCAGCACAAGGACTGTACTGCCCATATGCACCTCTGCTGAGGTGGAATCTGCAAAGAGCTCCCCGTAAGAGGTGCGGTGTAGAACAGTGACGGTGGCGGCGCCAGCGTCACGGAATAGCATGGCCAGCGGCATGCCCACGATGTTGCTGTCCCCCATGACAACCACGCTCTTGCCCCGCACCGCCACACTGCTGCGCTGCAGCAACTCAATTACGCCCAGTGCAGTGCAGGGGATGAAGCGAGCGGCACGGCCGCGCATGAGGATGCGGCCTGCAGCGAGGAGCAGCAGAGCGGATTGGGGCCAGGGGGCTGGACAAGCCAGCAAAGCAGCAGGCACAGGAGGTGGCATTCAGGCATGAAGACATACATTGCTATCTATGCACATACATTGCTATTTATGCAGCGGCAGGCCTGTGCAAACTGCCGACAGACTTCAATTTTCGAATCCTGCCAGCTGTCCTTGGACAGCTCACACATCCCTCACCCATGTTGAGCGGGTGGAAGCCGTCCACATCCTTTTGCGGGTCAAAGTTCTCGATGATGGCCTCCTCATCGATGTGGCGTGGCAGCGGCAGCTGCACCAGCACACCATCGATGCGTGGGTCGGCGCACAGTGCCGCCACTGCCGTCTCAAGCTGCCGCTGCGTCACGCTGCCTGACAGCTGGCGCACCTCGGCAAACATGCCCACCTGCATGCGCAAGCATCGAGAGAGAAAAGCGAGCAGGCGGTATAGCTGCGAAGCACCTGGTTTGCTCGAGGCGGGTGACGGACAGCACCAGGAACAGTGCCAAGAGCAGCACAGTGGCATCTGCCATGCCGTCCATGCAAGCTTCTTCCCACTCTCCCACCCACCCGCTCGCAGGCCTCACGCTTGCGCGTAACGTAGAGCAAGCTATCAGGGCGGGAGCCCACCAGGATCACTCCCAGACCTGGCGGCCGGCCGCCCTTGGCATATACGTCCCTCACATCCCGTGCCAGCTCCTCCTGCCAGGTCGTTGCCACAGCTCGGCCGTCAAGCACACGGGCCTTGCGAGCCGCCGTACCCGCTGCCGCTGCCGGCTGGACGGTGTGCAGGTGTTGCAACCCCAAAAGCCGCAGGTCTGCAGAGGGGAAACCGGCAATGTAGGATGAGTTTCGGGTGTGACGAGCGCCTACAGCCTCCAGCCTTGCCTTCACCGCACCGTGGCATGCCCTGGCCGGCATGGAGGCTTGCAGCAGGGACAGAAGCGGCGCTCTACAGAGATGCCGGCTGGCTACCGAGATGCCTTGAGCCGACACCATGGCCCGGGGCACGTGGTGCAGTCGCGAGTTCTAATTCAGAGGTTGGACAGGGCCTGGTCTGATGACTTTGACCACTGTTTGATCACTGCTTCATGTTTTGCAAACTGTTCAAGAAAGAGGATACATGCGGTGGCTGCTGTGCTCGGCGGTACGCCGGGCGCACGCTGGCGCCAGCAGGCACGACATCCTTCCAAGAGCTGTTTCGAACTGACACTCCAGCCACACTGCAACATTGCAGTGCTGTAACACATGTACAAGACATTGCGAGGAGGTTGCACACTGTTGTTGCGTGTGCCAACCGGAAGCCAGCTGCCTCAAGGTGACTTCACATTGTAATTGCGGACTCGCGGAGGGCTGGACACCTTGACCGGTTGCTGCCGCTTGGTGCTGTCTCCCGTCGGAGCAGGGGCGCCTGCTGCTGCTGCTGGCCTAGTCGCCTGCAGCTGCACGCCCACGACTCCGATTGGCAGCTGTTCAGCCGGCGCTCTGTCGCCATCTGCTGCCACCTCTTCAAGTCCCAGCTGCTGCTGTTGCTGCTGCTGCCGCTGTTGCCAGTCGCTGTTGCAGGCACTGTTGGCTGTCAACGTGGGGCTACCTTCTCTGCTGTTCGAAGGCAGCTGCACATGCTGTGCTGACGCTGGGAGTGCCAGAAGGGGACACATGCCAGTAGGTAGCACAATCATTGGCGGCGGGGCTGTAGGTAGCTGCAAGCTGCAGATGTCCAAAGCTGCATCGGTGCCTGAGCCACATCCTTTATCCTGCTGAGCCCTGGCCAGCCGGTTGCGCTCTGCCCGCAAGCCGTTGCTCATCTCCATCAGCCGCTCATTTTCTGCCGCCAGCTGGCGCATGCGAGCCTGCGCCCTGGCCAGCTGCTTCACCAGCCGCTGCACATCGTGCTCATGATGCCGCCGGGACTGCTCCTTCTTGTTGGTCAGGTCCATAAGAGCACTGGTGCCGCTGCGAAGACTGGCGCCCGATACCACCAGCGCCACCTGGCGGCGGTGCCGCTCATGCGCCTGCTCTTCCGTCAGCCGCTGCATCTCTATGGTTAATGCATGCAATGCAGCCTGCAGCTGCTGCGTTTGCTGCCGCTCCGCCGCCAGAGCTTCCTTCAAGTTGTCCGTTGTCAAGGGTGCCGCTACATTGACTGGACCAGCAGGTGCTGCTGCTCCTGTTCCATGCTGCCTCTCACCCTCGGGAGACTCTGGCGGCACATCGATTGACAAACCGATGTGACCTGCTAATGGTCCAGTGTCCTGCTTGCGCTGCTGCACCTCTGCATCCCTCAGAGGCAGGACAGCCTGTGACTGCACTGCCGCTGCCTGGGCAGAATCGCGCTGGGCCGCCAGCCGATGCAGCATGCCCTCCAAGTCATGGAGGCTCGGGAACTGGCCTGTCGCCAACACAGCCACACGCCGTTCTGCAGCATCCAACGCCGTCTGCAGCTGTTGACATCTGTCGGCAAGGTTGGCCAATTCCTCCTGCAGAGTTGTCACCTGTCTTTGTCATGCTTATCAATATGCATGTACCATGGTTTGCCAGAGCAACTGCTGCCACCCAGTCCACCCACCTGCGTTGCCGCCAACTCGTGCTGCTGCTGCTCTGCAAAAACCTGCAGCGCTGCATGCCGCTCTCGCAGCACCTGCTCCTCTGCCTCCTGCTCGTGCAGCGCTCTACGCAATCGCTGCTGCTCTTGCTGTTGCTCTTGCAGCAGTGCTTCCTGTGCTGTAAGAAGCTGGCGCTCCCTGTCGCCGCATATCTTGTCCAGCTGCTGCTGCAGAGCTGCATGCTGCACCTCCAGGGCAGCCCCAGCCTCCTCCAGCTCAGCTACCAGCTGCTCCGCCCGGCACTTGGCAGCGTGTGCCTCGCGCTCAGCTACCTGTATGCGTGTTGACAGCTGCTCTTTGGCCTGGCGGAGCTGCTCCCCGCTGTCGGCGCGCTGGTCCTCAAGAGCATTGCGCAGCGCCTCTGCCGTCCTGCGCAGCTCTCTGGCCTGCCCAGCATGTTCCTGTTGTACCGCTTGTAGCTGCTGCTGAAATTGTGTGCTGGCCTGCTGGGCTGCCTGTAGATCTCGTGCCTGGCTGTCTGCCCTGGCTGACAGAGTCTGCACACACATTGCAAGCCACAAGGGAGAGCTGTAAGCTTACCAGCCATTGACCAGGCTGTCGTGCCCATTCACAAGTACTGGCTCAGGTGACAGCTGCAAATGAAATTTCTGCCCTTGAAACTCACCGCCAGCTGTGTGGCTTGAGCTCTCAGCTGCTCGCTGGCCGCTTGCAGCTCGGCATCCCGGCGCTGCACCAGCTGCTCAGCAACCTCAGTGCGTAGCTGCAGCTCTTGAAGGTGGGTTGCATGCTCCGCCTGTAGAAGCCCAGAGCGAGATTGGTGCCAATGCACAGCTGGAAATGGCTCTTTCCGATGCACAGCTGCAATGCTGCTCTTTGCAAAGCGGAGCTAGTCCAGGCCAAGGAACCCACCTGCATCCGTTGCACGTCTGCCTCGTGGGCTGCCGCCGTTGCCCGCTGCTGTTCCACTGCCTGAGCCGCTTGCCGGTCCAGCTCAGCTTCAAGCTGACGGCGCTGCAGGTCGTTCTGGTGCTGGAGCTGGCGCAGCTGCCTCTCCCCTGCCGCCCTGACCTGTTGCACCTCCTGCAACAACGCCCGCCGCTGCTGCACCAGTTGCTGCTCTGCTGTTGTGCGAGCAACATGCTCGCTGCTGAGCGCTGCAAACAGGGGCAAAGATATGTCTGTCAATGGCAAATATCTCGAGCAATGTGGACGCCTCATGCCTCTCGCTTGGCTGCTGACATGCTCAACTGCCGGACCATGCACCCCGCTGTTGCAACACCACGTACTTTGCTCCGCCTCGGCCATCGCCTGCTGCATCTGGGTGACCAGCTCCAACTTGGTCGCCAGCTCAGTGCGCATCATCGCCAGCCTGGCCTCTGCCGCCTGCAGCGCCTCCCCCTTGCACTCTACCTGCACCTTGAAGGCATTCCATGGGTGAAACTGCCCTGCACCATGTGGGGGCATCCTCGGCCACAATTGTGCACTCGCTCGCCTGCTGCTCCAGCGACTTGATGCTGTCCATCCGCAGCTGCGCCAGCTCCTGCTCGCGCTGGGCTATGAGGTCGGCAACGGCACCGCCGCAGGTGGCGCCACTGCTGCTGCGGCCCTCCATTCCGGGCGCCCTGGCGCTCGCTCCACCCGCCCTTTCACGTCAATCTGGACTGCCGGGGGCTGTGCCGGGTGCGCTTGCGATGGGCTTTGACTTGACTCGAGGGCCACAGAGCTGCCCCCGGCCTAGCAAGGAGCAATCCTCGATGGGGCCATTGGGCTGGCAATAACGGAATGACTAGGCTCTCAGGAGCTCAGAGGGGCCCCTTTTAGACGCCTGCCCACCTGGGCATTTTCGGGGTCCTTTGCTGCCTCTTACCGGTCTCAAGCATAAACAGGCGCTGTGCACAGCATTGAGGGCTACTCGGCCTGCATTCAAGTTCAGGTCCAGCGGTTTGAGTTTGCGTGGGAGGTCGGCACCTGCAGCAGCTGGGCGGCCTGCGGTGGGGCGCATAGCCCGCAGCAGAGGCAGCGAGGGGCCGCATGGTGCGGCTGACGCTGATAGCGCGCACTCGGGATGGGCTGCCTCTGGCGGAGGGCCTGGACGCCGACAAGGAGCATGAAATGTACTCGTACAAGTCGCAGGCAAAGGTGCGAAGGAGAGGGAGGCGCTGGGATCGACGTGCGGTGGGCTGGCGGCTTGCCGCCTTCGGCAGAAACCCAGCGGCAGAAACCCAGCGGCAGCATGCCTGCAAGCCCCCCCTGGTGCAGGGCATCCTGAAGAAGATGGCTGCCAGCAGCAGCCGCCCGCCAGAGCGCATGTCCATAGAATCGGGGCCCTTCACCTTCCACTACCTCATCGACAGCGACGTCGTATACCTGACTCTCGCTGAAAAGGCCTATCCCAAGAAGCTGGCGTTCCAGTACCTGGAGGAGCTGCAGAGCGAGTTCTCGCGCCTTTATGGCGGCCAGATAGAGGCGGTCACGCGGCCGTACGCCTTCATCAAGTTTGGTGCGTGGCGTACCGCAGCATGGGCTGGCTGGGCTGGGGGACCAGAGGCAGCCGTGCTTGGCCTGGCCTTGCAGCTGGGAAGTATACTGGAACCCTGTGCCTGAATCTAGCGCCTGATGAAGTAACTAACACAGGTGGCCGCAGCAAGCACGGGGTGGGCTGCTGGGATTCTGTTCGATGTGGTGGCTATGGAGGCTCCACCGGGTGTGCCCCGACCACCTGAACCTGCAGACACCTTCATTCAGAAGACCAAGAAGCTGTACCTTGACACGCGCACACAACGCAACATAGCAAAGCTGAATGCTGACATCGCGGAGGTGCACTCCATCATGACACGCAACATCCAAGACGTGCTGGGCCAGGGGGAGCGGCTAGACAGTGAGTGGTCCTGCTGGATGTGTCTCCCTGCTACACCAGCTGGCACTTACCATCCCACCGCGGTGCTCCGCAGGGATGACGGAGATGTCCAACGCGTTGTCGCAGGACGCCAAGCAGTTTGCGGTAAAGGCCAAAGACCTGTACCACCAGGCCCTCTTTCGCAAATACCTACCGCTCATCATCCTGGTAGCTGTGGCCCTGTTTGTGCTCATCATGAAGCTGGCCTTCTAACGTTTCCAAACTGCAACTGACGGGCAATGGCGGCGGCGTTTTCCACTCCCAAGCCCCTGACTGAGGCCACGTGGATTCGGTGGCTGGAGGATAGCCTGGCGGTGACCAGCCAGACTCGGCCCCCGCTTCAGCGCGCATCATTGTAGCAGCTGCCTCGACCGACTTTTCTATGCACTTGCCACTGACTATTGTATTTGTACTCAGTTACAACTCTTGTTCTTTTGCAAAAATCAACCAGTGTACTCCGGACAGCAAGAGCGTTGTTGGCCATGCCTTTATGATGTCGAAGAATGGCGCAGGAGGGTGTGAGGCCCATGATGACCGGCCGCCGCTCACACTTCCTCATCCTTGGGCACACCCGCATCAAACCGCTCCACGGCCACAGCCTCAAAGTGATTTCCTGCATGCCGCATGCCATCTGTTGGCGTCACTGCAGATGCAGATGACAACCAAAACGAGGGGCCAGGCATAGGGGACGCCTGCAGTCTCCTTCTGTAACAGCACAGCTCGGTGGCTTGCCTTCCAGACGGTATGCCACCGCCAGCTCATCGTCACACTCCACCTGGAGCTCCACCAAGCTCTTGTTGTCCTCTAACAACACGCCGTCTTTGTAAAGCCGCTGGTCTTCCGCGGGCTGCCCCCTTGGCAGCAAACCATGGCCTGTCAAAGATGGCTGGCACACCAGCAAGTGCCATGTCCCAGTGCGGTTGGCTGCCCTCGCCCTGCTGTGGCCGGCAGCCCCACCTTTTGAAGCAGCTCCTGAAGCTTGCCCTTCAGGACTGCAACGCTGTCCGTCGGGTCCACGTGCATGAACACAGTCTGCACGTGGGGCTGGCACAGCGCTGATGAACCGCAGCACGGAGCAAGTAAATGCTTAGAGAGACCAAAACTGAGCAACCAATGACCCACCAGCTTCTCACGCTTCACCCGCACATACATGCTCTGCAGGCAGACAGCAACAGCGGGCAGTTCAGCGGCATGGTGTGCCGACGGCGGGAGTGCGGCAACCAGCCGCCTGCGGGTAGGACAGGCGCCCCGTGATTGTCTTCGCCACCCTACTGCGCACCATGGTTATTTGCTGCGTGCTGCCAGCCCCGCAGGGCGTGGCGATCAGAAGCAGGGGAGAATGGGATCAGAGGAGAAGGGGATCAGAAGCAGATGGTGGGCACCGCCACCTACAAAGCGTAGGTTCAACCCTGCTGTTGAAGGATCGCTGCTGCCGACAGACGAGGAACTGAAGCTGAGACCCCTCGAGCTGATACATCATGTGAGCTGGCGGCCTTCCTCAGGTAGCCCCGCTGTCGAACCAGCGAACGTTACTCTCACACTGGTTAAAGCTAGAACAACACACATACACACAGCCGGTATGCACCTGCCCAGGCGCCAGTGATCAGTTTCGAGTTTGAGGAGTTGTGAGGAGTGGGACAGGGGCCTCTGACAGCTCTAGTTCGCCGGAGACAGGGCAGCGGGCGCGATGGCGACCACTATGGATGTGGACAGGCCGGCTGTGGCCCCTGCCGCCAAGGCGGGCTATCCGCTACCTTGGGTGAGCAGCAAGCTGGACCGCCCATGCTGAATATCGATGCGGCCATGGCTGCATAGGGTGCTCCACGCGCTGCAACTCACCCAGGCATCCGCATTCGTGCCTGCTGTGTGCCCGCTCGCATTTGGTGTTTTGTGGCCCGCCCCCATTTGTGGCCCGCCCCCATTGCAGGTTGAAAAGTACCGCCCCACCCGCATCAAGGACATTGTGGGCAACGTGGAGGCAGTGTCGCGGCTGCAGATCATTGCAGAAGAGGGCAACATGCCAAACATCATCCTGGCGGTGAGAACCGGGGCATGCCAGCGGGCTTGCAAATGGATAGCACATTTTAAAGGGGGACCCACGTCTCTGCCCCCCTGCCAGGGCCCACCCGGAACTGGCAAGACCACGAGCATCCTGTGCCTGGCGCACGAGCTGCTGGGACCCAACTTCCGCGAGGCCGTGCTGGAGCTGAATGCCTCTGACGACCGTGGCATTGATGTGGTCCGGAACAAGATCAAGATGTTTGCGCAGCAGAAGGTCACGCTGCCGCTTGGCCGCCACAAGATAGTCATCCTGGATGAAGCAGACAGGTGCGGGGTGGGCCGCATGTGCTGGCAGGTTTGGCGGTGGCAGCCAAGCCTATGCCTCACGAGCCGCTGGACAGCATGACCTGCCTGCTGTGCCCCGCCACTGTTCTTCCAATTCGCTGCCCCGCCCTGCATCTTGCCGCGCTGCGCTTGCCTACAGCATGACTTCGGGTGCGCAGCAGGCATTGCGTCGCACCATGGAGATCTACTCCTCCACCACACGCTTCGCGCTGGCTTGCAACCAGTCGTCCAAAATCATCGAGCCCATACAGAGCCGCTGCGCCATCGTCAGGTGCAGCCGGGCAGGGAGGTGATTGTATGATGGCTTTGTTGGCTGTTTGCTGGCTGACTGGTTGGGGATGCGACAAGCTGGAGGATGTGGCAAGCTGTTGCAGCAGAGGCACGCTGCCTTCTCGCTGCACCGCACTGTATGGGCCTGCATGCTCAGTCTCATTCTGCACGACCGCTTTGGCCTGGCCGAGACCTGCGGAATGCAGGTACAGCAAGCTGAGTGACAAGGAGCTGCTGCAGCGCCTGCTGCATGTGTGCCAGGAGGAGGGTGTCGCACACACGCCCGATGGCCTGGAGGCTGTGGTGTTTACGGCAGATGGAGACATGCGGCAGGCGCTGAACAACGTGCAGGTGGGAACCAGCCGTGGCTGGAAGATAGGGCTTGCATGTTGGTGGCATGCAGGCAGGGATGCTTCAGCCCAGTCGTTCATTGGCCCCCACTCTTCACATGTCTGCAGGCCACTGCCAATGGCTTTGGCCTGGTCAGCCAAGACCACGTGTTCCGAGTGTGCGATCAGCCGCACCCTGTGCTGGTCAGCAGCGTTGTGCGGCACTGCCTGGATGCGCGCATCGACGACGCATATGAGGGGTTGCGGGTATGTTGGGGGATTGGTGGGTTGAAGGTGGCTGGTGACACCCCACCTGCGAGGCACTCTGCGTGGTCTTATGCCTGTATTGAAATGCACTCTGTCTCTGCCTGTGCTTCTGGTGGGTTGCATGCCTGCCCTTTGCCATCACACTCCAGCCGCCGCCCAGGCCGACTGCAAACTGTGCTGGTGCTTTTTGTCTCTGCGTTGTAGGCGCTATGCGACATGGGTTATAGCGCCAGCGACATCATTACCATCCTGTTTCGCGTGGTGCGCAACTTCACGGGCATGAATGAATACCTCAAGCTAGAGTACATCAAGGTAAGGGGCGGAATGGGCTCTTGATGTAATGCATCAGGCCCAGATGTGAGCGACAATGGACCTTCCACCGTGGTCTGACAAGCATCCGCCCACCCCTTGCTGCAGCAAATTGGCTTTTGTCACATGCGGGTGGGCGACGGCGTCAACTCGCGGCTGCAGCTCTCTGGCCTGCTGGCAGAGTTGTGCAAGCTGACGATGCGCGCTGCTGCCTAGCAGGAGCCCGGAGCCCATCCTGGTGGAAGCATGTTGGAGATGTGCTGCCCACAAGTGTAAGCCTCGATTCCGAAGTTTCAACACAGGGCAGCTGCTGCAAGCATGCGCCTCCGCCACGGCCAGGTGGCGCCACACATTCATCCAGATGTGCCAGCGGCAAATCCAGCAGCTGTACGCGGTGGTTGAAGTGGATTGGAGCATCACCAGGTTGTTTGCCCCTACTACGGCAGGGGTTCGGAGGTGGGCCACACCAGGTTGGCTGCCCCCGCCCCCCCTGCC